CGACACACTATGTGCATAGTGCGTAGTGGGAGAAGATACGTAGAAGATGAACGACGAAAAGCACCTAGCTAAGGTCACCTGGTCCTTCAGAAAGAATTGTTCTTCACGCTATAGATATTCTTACCACGATGAATTTTTCAATCGACGATATTGTTATTTTATTTATATATTTTTATAATTATTATATTATTAACTAAATGCGCGGCGATGACGTATAATTTAGTTGTACAGTTTTATATCAAAGTGTACAGTTAAATTAATTAGAATTACTGTTCTTCATTATTCAAAGAGTGATATGTATTGTAGCATAACGAGTTAAAGGCGGCCGTGAGCGTAGCACATATTTATTAAGTTGTTTATTTCAACAACTGTCTTTTTTTAAACAAAGCGTTACAAAGGCTTTTGTTGTGAGTGTATACTACAGCTGAAATAGTGCCGTAACAGTAACACTAAGGTAGGGCAGTGTCTGGTGGGAGGGGGGCATGGGGCATTCCTATCAGATGATGCCCCATGCCCGGCCTCGCACAACAACCAAACAACCGCTAGCCCGCTACTGCCCGGCGGCGCGACAAACACCTGTTGTATCTCGTGCCGAATCCTGGGTTTTAAATCAAATTCAACTTTTCTTTTGGGACCTCTCAATACAGTACCATCTTCGGAGGCATACCTGGTCGGAAATCATATTGGAGGTATGATTTGTTGGAGATAGTTTGTCGGAGCTATTGTTGTTAAAATACACTCAAAATACTCAATTGTAGCTCCATCGGAGGCGTGTCATTTTGGAGATATATTTTCGGTGTTGTGCCTTGTTGGGGTGTAGGTTGTGTTGGAGAAGTATCTTGTTGGACATTTTTGATCTGAGGAAGCTCTATCAGGGATTTAATGCATTTTTAGAAATATTCGAATCAATCGGAGGTGTGCGGTGTGTCTGGTTGTTAAAGTCTGACCTCCGGAGGGTGTTCTACTGGGAACATGTCTTGTTGGAGATATTCAGCCGGTTAAATGGTAGTTTTATGTCGGCGATGGCTGTTTCGAAAGTACGCCTTGTCTGGCACTATTATCACGGTGCGGTGTGTTGCATATCCTGTCTCGAGCACAGCAGACACCTCGTCGGCGCTACACTTTGTCTGATGGTGCCCTAGTCCCGAGCCGCCGCCGCCGCTGGCCTCGGTATTTTTCCGCCGCCCATTCTCGGAACGCCGCGACCGACAACCGGTCGAGACTGCGTGGTTCTAGACCTACTACCACAACCACACCATTGATGTCCGCACTGTCACCGCCGCTTGGACTGACGTGTTGTGCACTCATTGAATTAGCCTAGTTGGGTCTACATGTCACACTTTCTGTACTTCATTTTAAAACTTCTTCGCCAAGAAAAAGACTAGAAGAGTTTTGATACCGCTAAGGTCGTGGCTATTAAACTACAGCCGGATGTCCAGGATAGGTATCATTTACTGTGAAATTTAGGTATTGTCTTTCGAGACTTGTACTGAATGGGCACTTCCATTTGAATTAATGGTTTTCAAATTTACCTGATCCGGCATGCCTGATCCGATTTCACCGTACCGGACGCAGTGTGTGACGAGCCTTTAACCACAGACAAGGGAATTTCCTTAGTCAATGCTTTAACTGAACCAAATGCTCAAAAAGGTGTCACGGGAAATATTTGCAACAAAAATATTAGGTACCGGTACTTCCTGTATTGGTAAAGATCCCACTTACCTTTGGCTTTGCTTAGAACTAGTACCTTGCTGTTGCTCCTGATAATCACGATTTTTCATGTTTCAAGTTTTTGTCAAATTTGTTCAACGAACTGATAAATTGGGTAAATGTCAAGGCCTCTTGAAAACATTTACTAATATAATCAGATTTTTATGTACGGATTCGGTGTTTGCTACTTGTAAAAATGGAAGAGGGTTAACTGTTGACTACATAGTATTACACTGTTCTATTGTGTACTATTGGAAACATGAACCACAGAATAAAACATTTCCCATGACCCGTGTTTACTCAATGACTAGAAATGGAGGAACTAATCAATTTCGGCGAATGATTCATTTATTGGTGTAAGATAGACGAAAATAGATTGGACTACGTAGTGACGGACGAAGTTCGAGCACTGAGCCCTAGTCCGATAGTGATAGTGACCACAGGCGTGCCAACCGAATAAACAAATCCCAAGGCTACCGCTACCACAGAACACTGGTATAAATGAGAATAATGATTAGTCACCGCGCCGCTCAAAACGTGCCTGGAAAATTTTTACTACACTTTGTTATGCCTTCCTTTTCTGATGACAGCTACGTTGAAGCATTGAAGTTAATGATGCTGTAATGCTGGGCTATTAATATTTTTCGTAGTTTCTTCGTGTTGTTTGTGGTTGAATATAATAACATGGGTATTGACAGTGCAACAGCAACAACAAAGTTAATGAATCGTCGAACATGCAGGAAGGAGGGATAAAGAAAGATGTCAGACAATATTCTGAGATTGAACCTTACTATCCTGTGCTTCTTAATTTGTTAAAACCCCTTTTGTACAGTTTTAAAGTGATCGTCAGTTTGGTGCCCATTCTCTCTGAACTGTTGTACTGACCTACTGACATAAAGAACTAACTTAGATAATTTATTTTCAGAAACAAAATCGTCGTAGCAAACTAAATTGAAGAAAACGAGGGCAGTAAGAAACTGCACCTTGCCTTGCCAAAGCCATCATCGGGCCATTCAGACTTGTTGCTAATAGTTGTGATGCAGATGTACCTTGGATCACTACTGGATAAATCTGATGGTACCAAAATGTCTTGTTGCACTTTTAAACAAATACTTTACAAAACTTTCATTTTTATGGTTAGAGGACCTTTGCTGATTAAAGTATAACAGTATGTTAACAAACCAGTTGAGGCTGGACCGGGCAGTGCTTGTCATGTTATTCAAGGACATTGGGTCATTGTCCTAGGAGGACCAACACAGGTAATCAACGGCACTTTGACAGACCTACCAATATCAGTTGTGATACTGTATGTATGGCAGCTGGTTGGTAGGTACTGGCAGAATACCTGTCTTCTAACCGTTCATGGACACTGGGTCAATGACCTGCGTCGATATCAGTTGAGGCAGGTATTGTAGAGGCTTGGCTTGGTGTGCTGCTTTATATGTCATGGGGAACATTCAAGGACACGGCGTCATTATACCAGATCTAGAGGACCTGTACTAGTAACAGCCGACCTGGCAACAGGTACAGTTGAACCTCGTTTGTACGAACCTCGATAAAACGAATTCCTCGATAAGACGAATTTTTTTTAATCCCCTTGACACTTTCATATAGGTTAATGCTAAAAACACCTCTATACAACGTAGTAACTAACTAACAAACCTCCATAAGACGAATTTGTTTGTGACATGGGCTAGGACTGGTTAACCCCTTTACAACGAATATTCTTAGCACAAAACCTCTACAAGACGAACGTGACCTCTATAAGACGAATTTATCATAATCTTAACCTCCATAGTACGTAGTTTTCAAAACAAACAGAAGCTTGTCTCAACATGAAACCCCCACCCATCCCTCCTCCTTCCTCAGTCATTGTTTGGAAAAACCTTGGAGCGAGGAGAAACCTCTATAAGAAGAATAACAGCAGCATTAAACCTCGATAAAACGACCCTCTTTATTAAGAATACCTCTATAGTACGAATTTTTCCCGTACCCCTTGAAATTCGTCTTATAGAGGTTCAACTGTACACTCATTGACTTTGGATTCAACGAGGATACTTTTCACCCTACTTTGTAGACCTGCCAATGCTACTGTGGCTGGGCCTGCCAGTTCATAATATTCAGTTGGACATTGTTTTATTTAAAGGTCCAGCGCTCGTGACTGACAGTTGAGGTAGATATACTGGAAAGTCTAGCATTTTCATGTTGAAAGCTCTCCTGTCAATGATTACTAAGATGACACTAGGTGTAGGACATGTTCGGTCTCTGTTTTTGGCTTTTGTTATTGGAGGTTTTTCTTTTAACACTTTCTCAGGACCGTTAGCACCAGTATGACTTGTTTAGTGGCGCCAGTGCGCCATTGACACCAGCGTCCATCCTGCCTGTCACTTCACAGCTTCGGCTCACAGATCGTCCATTATCTCCAGGCCTACTCCACTTGTCCCTCTGAGTAAAAATAGCTGCCCTCGTGGCGCAACCTTCCTCAGAAATTGGCGGCAGATATTACAACAGACGACAGACAGATAGTGTCTTTGGGTGTCTCACACATGGTTTGACTTTGGGTGATCAAATCGTTGTAGTCTTTCATCAGCTTTTACGAAATTAGATTGTTGATTTTAAAGGGTTGATATTGGAGGTTTTAATCGATAAAAGGTTATGGTATGAAGCTCATTTAAAGTGGGACCAGACCCCACCTGGATATTCAAATACAGATAGTTGTGTGTTTCTTCAAAGGTTTTTGTTAATAAACCAAAAATGGTTTTAAAACAAATTCAATAATGTACGTTTTGACATTACAGCACAAACAAAAAAGACAGCAAAAGTACATCTGATGGACAAAACTATGGGACATATGAAAATATGTAAGAGGTTAGCTTAAACTGACGTTTTTAACTGATAACCGTAAAAACGGTATTTTGCTAGTTCATTTGTTTCTCCTGATTATTCGGATGATAATAGTCTGTACAGTGTAAATTAAATGGAGCGTTGACTATTGATACAGAATCCAATAGTCAATGCCTGGAGTTATACTGATATTCAGTTAAAATTATGTTAGTAGATACAGATTTTTAACTAAACAAAATTTAAAAATTAAAAAAAAATTCTTTACCTGCATACTGTTAAGTTTGCGTAGTAAATAACAGTTGAATTGTATTTCTTTGTTCGTTGCACCACTTTACGCCGTGCAACTTTTGGTTATGTGGTGGGCGATAATATTGATTAATTGATTGATAATTGTATAGTTTTGTGTAAGACATATAGTATTTCTGAAAATGTTGTGTGTGTTTCAGAAGAGGTGGGGCCGTTCCGGTCTGTGGAGATCAGTCCCCCATTCGCCCACCTCCCTCAAAAAGGTGAGTCTCACAACAGAAAATTACAACTCACTTGAACATGTAACTTGGGACACAAAGGTCTGGATTTAAAGGGGGTTTTAATGTGCAGTACTATTACCAGAATGGGAAAGAGTTCTTTCCAACACGAGAACTCAAAAACTTTCACTACATACAACAATTTCACTGCCGGTAACAAAATGTTCACCCAAGGAACTTTTCCGTTAGAGGATGATTTTTTCAACATTCACCCTTTGTTATAAATGTGGTCAGAGCCTAAACAATATTTGGATACCGTAATTGTGTACGTGCCTTGTATTAAAAAATGACTCTTCTTACTAATTAAATTTAAAAAATGTTAGTTTTATAACTAAAACTGAATGGTTTCTCTATGATCACCCCATTGTAATAACTGGTTGTTAATTTAAACTATGATCAAAAACATGAATATATTAACCAATGGCCAGTGAACTTGTTTATATCTTGTATGTTTTGACTCGACAGTAAGTGAAGGTTTATTATTTTAATCTAGTGCAAAACACTAGGTTTGTGCCGATAAAAATTGTACACTTTGCTTATTTATTTATTAATTTAAACAATGCAACAAACAAATAGAAAGTATTAAATGTGATGGTTTTGAATAAGTTAGTAAATTGCAGTACTGTATTATTGTTTGGATTATTCTGTATTTTGCTGAGCAAAGAAACACCTCAAGCTGAGTGGAGCGTGGGGCACCTAGCAGTCTTCTATTGATTATCAATCAGTCCAGCTATTCTGAGAATACTGACCAATGTTCAGGCAGCCTGTGAATACTTTATGCCTTTAATCTTCAGACAGTTATTGCTATCAACATGTCAACAGATTTATCAAACTGCCACGCAAAACATACAAATACATTTTGGGACATGATGTGTTTTTGATAAATATGTATTGTTGACGACAAGTGGTGTGAATTAATACAATGTCTTCTCTTAGTAGCTCACATTTTTCAATCCCGACTGCAAGTTGTAAGTTCAAAGTCAGCTATGTATGCTATCGCACATTTTGTGAGGTGCATATAGGATTTGGAACAGTACGGTATATGATTAAACTTTGATCGCATATATTTGAAATAAATGTATGTAAAGAGGAGTAGTTGGTTTAAAAAAAAAGCTTGTAGTACTGTGTTAACAGTTTACATTGATTTAGCAGTAACATGAATTTTCCACCAAAGTAAAAAACTTACTGAATTTTAAGCTATGGTTCCCCAGACTGCGAAATTTTGGCCGTGCGGTGGTTCCACTGATGTGCGTTTACGCGTTCAAAATTTATGGTTCCACAGGGCATCCAAATCATACTGGTCAGAGAGCATTGGCAGTGCGGAATCCGCCAGCGGAGAGGAGCTATCAACTATTGTGACCATGTAGTTATTGCAATTTCATTATGTCTTGTGTGGTAAAAAGAGGTGTAGATGAACGTTTTTCATTGACCGAAGAGGAGGAACTTGTCGAGTTGGTGTCTCAACATGATGTGCTGTGGAAGTTGAGTGACCCGGAGTACAAAAACAATGCAAAAAAAGACGTAATTTGGATTACAACTAGAGAAAAACTTGGGAAAACAGGTAATCTGTTTATCTGTGTATGAGTTGACACCAATAAAGATAAAAGATCGATAACATCATCACAATCATAAAGCATCACAGCCACGAGGGCTTTCCTCTTCCTATCTATACTCGTCGCTAGTTTGGACAGAACTGAATTTTTCGCAACGTTATTTCCGCAGTCAGAAGAACCACCACTCCAAATTTTACGCGGCATAATTTCCGCAACAAAAAACTACGCACTGTGGCGGAAGTTTCGCAGTCCGTGGAACCATAGTTTTAAACTGTCACTTTAATGTTAGTGTGTTTTAAAAATAGCAGAATAAACATTCAAATACTATTTTAAGAAAGTGTTCAACCTAAGTAAACATTTTATTTCTATGTGTAAGCATTATTATTTTACAATAGATACAAGAAAAATAACAATATAAAGTATTGATATAACTATTACTTAGGGAAATCTTGTCTGAGAGATGGTTTGTTAATTACTGCACACTATGCTACGTACAGGACAGATTGTAAGGTGTCGTAAAGATAATAGGGACAAACACAAACCAGTTATGGAAATTTGAACAATAAATTATGGCTTTTAGACAGTCATAAATAATGTTTTTTTGCGTTTCATATAAAAGTTGTTTTTGAAGAAACAATGGGCCGTTGAGCATAGCAATTCAATATAGGGAGTGTATAAGACAAAGCTGAGTTGCTATTATAGTAAGTACATTTTTGAATGTGGATGTGAAGGACTTAAGATTACCTTTGAATCCTGCCACCCATGTCTGTTGGAATGTCTTAAGCTGTGCTTATAGTGTTAGTAGCAGTTCAAACTAAAATGTCCTTTACACAACTCTACGTTTGTTACAGAGATGACAAGAGAGTCGCCATCAAGTAGTCCGGCGCTCAGTCGGAGAAATGAACTCAATAACCTGGTCAACGGGCACGAGTTCCAGCACCAGATACTGCAGGTTAGCATTAGACAGTCTCAGTCCCTAACAATATAAACCAGTCCACAATTACTTAATGCAAATTTTTTTATTTCGGAAGGAAATAAAGAAGGTTTTTACCCTGTGCTTGTGGTATTTGGTAAGAGGTATTGTACACAATACTTCCTAAGGCAAGAGGTACAAAATTATTAAATGTTATGTGGATATGCTGGGACCTGGGAATCAAACGCATCACTCTTGCACTCTTTTCAGCAACACACTCTTTTCACATCATTACAAGGGACAGTAAACTAATAGAATTTTTGGTGTAGAGGAGGGGGTGTTCAGCAGAAACTTCTGGAATTACCTAAAATCAATGATGAACTTAATTAAAATCCATGTTATTAGTGCCTCAGCTGTAACATAACTTTAGATTTACGTTAAGAATTTTAAGAGTCGGCGTCTTGCTCGGATCGTAACAATGTCAACTGTGACAATGTCGGTACCATGTGTGCGACAGGCCTGTTCATTTTTGTATTGTTTAATCGCAATGTGTATTTGTCGGTGTTATGTGATTTAACCTCGACGATGCTGCTCAAGCGTAAACGGTCGAAAACACAGTTACAACTTTTAAGCTGATTGACAACAAGGTAAAGCCTACTTTTTAGATGACCTTCAACAAAAAAATGCCACAGAACCTTTTAAAACCACTTTAAAGTTCTTGGCCAACTAATATTCTCGGACATCTTGTAAGTTGTAACTCTACTATAATGAGTGATATCAACACTTTAAATAAATCATTCTTATGGACATTTAAAAATATTTATTAATGCAACATAAACTTACAAATTCCAAATTTCTGTTAGTAATTTTTACATAATAATTTTACCACCTTCTTTAAACTTGCTCCAATAGTTCTCAGTTTGGATTTGATTAACTCAAATCACGTTTGCTAGACAAAGTTTAAACGTAACAGCCACAGTACGACCTTTACAACTCCCCACTATTTCCGCGCTGCCCGAAGTATTTATAGGAGTTACGACCAATCCAAACATACATCTTGTATTTATAGCTGACACAAAGGGATTAAAAATACTCAAGTACCTCCAAACAGCTCAGTACTCTGCTGCTGGCTTCAGTTTTTGAGTTGCATTAAAATTATTGGTGTAAAGATTGACATAAAATTGTGAACTACACGTTTTTATTGGTTTCAGGATCAGAATGTTGGGTTTTGTACAAAAAGTTATCGTTTTTATTCTAGTTAAACTGTTTATCTCTTGGGGCAGCTATTATACTCTGACATCATACATCCTTCCAGAGAAACATTTCATCCAAGAAAATTTAACTTTTTAATATGTGGAATTTTTATAACAACATTAAACAAATTGATTAACACTTCTTGGTTCTCATATAAGGACTGAAAAAGTTGTTCCCTTTTTCAGTACCAGACTTTTATTTTTAACTTTGAAGTAAAAAATTAGAATCTATTTATCAAATGATTTTTAAAATAGGGTTGAAACGAAGTTCATGGCCATTGAACCGCTATGGTATATTGAAGATTGAGTATAGTATCTAGTTCCATGTTTGTGCGGATAATATTAGAGTCGGCCCTAGCACAGTGCTCGGCTAGTAACCGATAAATCGATCCATCAGACTTGATGGACTCGCAAAATCCCCGATATTATTTTGGGCGCTTTAGATAAAGAAAATTAAGTCACGGATTGTAAAAGTGTGTAAAAAATGTATGTATGATTTTCATTTTTTAGTAGCTCATATCCACTCAACATTAATTATTCCTTTTTAAGTCCACTAAAAGTAAAACCCAAGATTATTTTAATTTTAATAGTTATGTTTCCAAATTTTACCTACAAGCAATTAATCAATATAGTACATTTGTAATATATGATTTTGGAATTTTAAGTTTTCTAATGAGATCTGGTTTTATACAGACTTTTTCCTCTATGAATGCAACATATAACAAGAACAAAAGAGATTTTACATGAAGGGAATGTAAAGGTCAGAAGAAGCCAGCAGTTGAGGTCAACCGCTAGTTAGTTGTCTAGTTTTAGAAACATGCTTGTACTGTTAGGTTTGTTACTCTAGCTCAGTGACAAAAAACTGACCGGTTTTCTTCGCTTGTATGTTGTTTACATACCTCACTCTTCCACTGGTACTTCTTAAACAATTTTAAGTATTAGCAATACTTTCTTTGCTACACAGGATTTATTTTATCCTAAAATTTAATGGCTAATTATTGACAATGTCCAATACATGTAAAAGGTCACTGCCCATAAAGGGTTTGATTTGACAAAATATGTTGTAAATTCTAAGCTAAACAATGAATACCATTTTAGAACAGTTTGCATTTGCACTTGGGAAATGTCTGTAGTTCCTGATAAGATTGTTATGAATTGTAAAAGTTAAAAATAGAAGAAGAAAGAGTAGCTTATCAGAACAATAAAGCTACACACCTTCAAGATAACCAAGTAAATAGAAACTCATTGAGTTGTGTAATCAGAGCTTGTTGAATATGTTAACATTCTTCCCCACTTCACAGTAGTTATCATTATCAATAGATTTGATGTGGCATTGGCAATCATTTATGATTACTGTAAGGAACTATTTTTGTTAAATAATTTAGATTTGATTTTTGAGCTTATAATTGTTTTGCAATGCTTTCAAAATATAAAATAACATTTAAACAATAATTGTTGACTTTTTAAAAATACAGATAAGGGTTATTAATAAAATGTCTCATTGGAATATTTGAAATAGCCTACTTTCTAAAAATAGAAATTTTATTTTAGTTTGTGATTCAGGCAGCAGTTTTGTCTGCAGGGACAAATAATGCCAATTATAAAGTTGTTTTCTAAGTAAGCTGTAGGAATGTTAAAATCCCAAGGGCATTCAAGAGTATTTTTAGATACAAGACAGATGAGACTCTTAAACTTTTAAACTGTGTGGGCAATATGCTTCAAACAGTAATTTGTGTTTTCATTGGTAGATTTTTTTGTAGAATTGTCTAAGTAACTTAGATTGGACATCATTGGATCATCATCATCATCATCGGATATCATGAGTTGAATTCTAAGAAGTAAACATTTTTGTTTTTGATCCTATCATTTGTGCTGATGTGTAGAAGTAGAAACACTCATAGAACAAGCTTCTTAACAGTAACATATACAGATGGCATAATTTTAAAGTACAGTAACAACAGATTTTTCTAATTGTCTGTGTAGCCGAGTGGTTATAGTGCTTGCCTTCTAATCAGATGGTTGCTGGTATAATTCCAAGCGAGGTCGTTACCAGACACAGATCACATTTGTCTTTGGGCTATCAATTAATGATGCTTTCCAACAACAGGTCGACATTAAATGGTAAAAAGACTAGGGATATATGTTAACAAATGCAGCTGGCGTATATAGACACAATACTTCAACAAAATTAATTTTCTGTTGAGTCAAACTTAACCAATAAATGGTGTTTGTTTCAGCTGAAGAAACAGCAGCAGTTACAGCAGCAGATTCTGCTGCAGCACTTCCAAGCGCAGCAGCAACAGTTGGCAGAGCAGCATGAGCAGCAACTCAGACATCACCTCAAGGTAACATGACAAGTGCCAATACGTCAACATTTCCAAGTGAAAGGGTTTTAATGAGTGATGAAACGTAATTCCATTCAAAATGTACAGACTGAATAAAAAAATCTGTGCCCAATAAACAATTTGTATGTTGATCTTACTAAGTTGCAGTCCACATTTTACAACAAAAAACCCTAACAAAATGTATCAACAAGGCTTGTTAATAACAAAGAATTTTTAATTGTATGAAAAAAAATTACTGTAGTCAGAAGAAATTTTAATGCTTATTGTGTGGCCTATGAAAGGCTTCTAATTTCAAGATCAAAATGCCTTCTTATAACATTTTCAACAGTACATCTACTCAATCAAAAAATTTACAAATTAAAAATTAACAACTGTATCAAAAGTTTGAAACAGTAATTTTTATTACATTAATGGTTGAAATAATTTTTCAAAATTAAATAAAACTTATGGTTTAAAAAGTTTAAATTCTTTACAAACATTGTTAGTTAGTGAATTGCATAGGTCCTACAATTTTATAACATGGCAAATAAAAAAAGGTTTTGATAGACACTTTCAGACTATACGCAAATTAGATTGACTAAACTATATCTATTGTTTATCCATTTTTTTCTTTTTGTAAAGATTCACAATACATTAATTATTGTTCACATTAAAGAAAAAAAAAACTTCAAATGATAAATGTAGGTACTGATGTTTTGTAATATAGTTGAAAAGTAAGTTGTTTTCTACCTGTGTATGTTGCTGATGACAATAATAAGTTAAGTAAATTTCCAGTGTCTGATAGGATATGAAAGCTATCCAGTGGAGGCAGTGTAAAAATAAATGATGTTGTGACACATGGCTGGTAGTCTTCCAGGAATAACTAGTGACACAACATCAGTGAAAGCTGATAAATATTGAAACTACAGTAGTAGCTGAGACATTATAATATTGTTATGTAGAACAAGTTTAGGTAAAAGTGTCTCTGACGTTTTATCAGTTGTATGTTTGTCTTTGTCATAAAATTGGTTTAACCTTAAAGTGTATAAATCCTACTAATATTATAAATGAGAAAGTTTGGATGTATGGATGTATTGATGTATGGATGTATGTTTGTGACAAGTGAATGCGAAAAATACTGGTCGGATTGGGCTGAAATTTGGCATGATGATAGCTCACATTCCCGATTAACATATAGGCATATTCTTATTTTAAAAATCCTTTCGGGCTCCGCCCCAGTGGCTCTGGAGTTTCCCATGTTAACCTTATGAGAAATGGAATTATTAAATCTTAACAGCTGTTTCAATTAAACAAGTTGGTTCTGTTCTATGATGTCCAATAGCATTAAAGTTACAAGGAATACCAACAGGGTGCAGCACTATTATTTCTTTTACATGACAACAGCTAATTTGCAACCAAAATGTGAGTGAGCGTAGCGAACTATCTTCAACCTGGAGGCGAGTTAGCGTAGCGAACGAGCTAACCTGAAGGCAAGTGAGCGTAGCGAACGAGCTCCAACCTAAAGGTGAGTGAGCGTAGCGAACGAGCTCCAACCTAAAGGTGAGTGAGCGTAGCGAACAAACTTCAACCAGGACGTGATTGAGCCATGCGAACGAGATAATCTTGAAAATTAAGAAGTTAAACGGGGCAAAGCCCGCGGGTTACAGCTAGTAATCTATAAGTTATAGGTAGTTGATATAAAAATGTTGTGTAAGCACAGTTTAAAACATGTTTTACAAACATAAATTTATAATTTTCCCAGAAATTTTCACATAAAAAATTTATTCTTTGGATTATAAATTTTTTTCTCAAACTGTAACTAGTTACATTTGGAATCCATCATCACAATTATCTGACAGTGTAAAAAAACACTTCTGTAATACTGTAATTGCAAATGTGAGATGGAAGTAATACATGTCCACTTAGCCATAGGTGTCTGTTCTTACCGCAACTAAGATAAGAGAGGTAAGGGGACATGAAAAACTGTGTGGTATGCAGAACTAAGACTTTGAAAATATAGTCAAATGCAAAACCCTTAAGTCTGGTGATTATTTTCCGAACACAAGGGGGCGGTAAACTAGGTGGTCTTGATGTATCTGCTACTGTGTATCACACACTGGAATAGCAAACATCACAGTATTAGATATTGTAAAAACAATAATTTCTCCATACATTATGTTAGGGGAGAAAGTAAAAGGAGGGATAAAAAGGCATGTTGGATAATTGGGACTCAACGTATACTTACGTATACTGCGCCCCTTAGGCTGTCTCTAAAGTTTACTCACTATTACATCACTATTTAAAATTGTTAAAGCTTTAACATTTAAAGCTTGTGTTATCTGTCGCGGATGTGTGCTGTAGGTGTATGCGTGTTCTAGGAGCTATGGGAGCAACAGAAGGCCCTAGAAGATCAACAGAGAGAGCAGAGAGAGAAGGAGAGATTGGAGTCTCTCAAGAAGAAGGAGAAACATGAGCAAAGTGCAGTGGCCAGCTCGGAGGTTAAGCAGAAACTGCAGGTAATACCCCATGTTGATGTGGCAACAAGCTTTAGAATGAAAAGATAATCTCACAATTGAGCATGTAAGTTCGTGTATTGCAAATATATCACACTGTTGCTGAGCGTGATAAATAATTGTGGTCAGTAGTAATACATTGACCTCTGAGTGGCAACTGTTTAGGAAGTTAGGTTCCACACAGTGCCAGCTAGCTCCTGTGTTGGCGCATTCAATTATTACCAGGGTGTCAAACTTATCATATACCGATCATATATCAGAATATCATAACCGTTTATGATCTACATTCTCAAACTAGACTAAAATTGTCCTTCAAAATATCCCTTAAAAACTTCTTTCTTAATAATAATTACGCCTCAAATCTCTAAATTTCGTATGATTTAACAAAATTATTAGTTTTTTAAATAATATTCTAAATATAATTTTATTTCATGAAGTGGCAAAATCAGGAAATGTTATCAAATCAAAATCTTGTTATTCATTTTGTACATACATACAAGAATAGTGTAATAAAATAGAAAATTTCTACTATACAAAATGTGTTCTACAGCAACTGCAACTACTAAAGTACATCAATCTTTATATTTATTTTTGAAATAAACTTCTAGAGAGTACCAACTTTTTTTAATAAAACATTTTTCATATTATTTCTGGAATGTTTTTGGTCCATAGCATTTTTAAGTGATGGTGGTAAATGATTTAACCCATTGGCAACCTATTACGAGTATACTCGTTGTGGCTTCAAGATGGCCCAAAACCACCATCACGAGTTATCTCGTTATGTCGACATAGTTATTTTTATTTTTTTTTTTACTTACATTTATAATTATTTTTGTACTTTATTATAACTTTCAGGGCTATATAGAACATCAAATTTAATGGCAATTTAAAGTAAATTATTTTATACCGTAACATTTATATTCATTGCGTAATACGGACCTATTTTGTTCGCAGCTGTTTCACTACGTTGCTAGTGACGGGGTGTTAGATTAGTCAGCTGTCACAATTGTAACAACAAAATTGTGTTATTAGTTTTCTATTCAAGTTTTCTATGTAAAAAAAAATAAATATTCTACTCAAAAATATAAAAGTTAAAGCATTGTAAGGTATAGAGAATTTTATAAGGTTTAAGAAAAATATAACTTAAGCCACATTTGGTCAAAAAACAAAGAGTGTTATTAGGCCTATAGGTTTTTAGATTTTGCTGAAATTTAATAAGATCAGGCCAGCCAGTAATATAGTGCTTACTTAGGTCCCCAATGGGTTTTGGATCCTATGTGGTTTTTTTTTTATAAAATGTTAAATTATGTTAGAGCCTCGGGTAAGTTTATATCTTGTAACATATAAACAAAAAATATCTATATATAGTTATATTTGCGGGCATATCTTTGTAAAGAATGGACATTTCTGTAAAAAATCATTTTATGTAACTGGTTTTTGACCAAGATTATACATTCTACAATGTACTGGTCATATACCGTTGGAATTTTTAGCTGAGAAAAGCTAAAAATTTAGTAATTATAAATTACTGTTATAATTATGCTAGGTATGATTAGACTGAGTAAGGGAAGTAGAGTTTCTTAAAATAATTTTTTTATTAGCCTAATAATTTTATGCGCCCAATCTGGTCCAATATATGTAAACTTTAGCGTTGCTATTTTTAGCTTACTAATAGTTTTATGCGCCCAATCTGGTCCAATATATGTAAACTTTAGCGTTGCTATTTTTAGCTTACCGACTGCACTCAATGTTATTTAATAGTATTTAGACGTGATATATAATTTATGTGTCTAAAGTAATTATGTTCCGAAACATTTACATGATTCATTACTATTCTTGTAGGAATATAAAAATAAAAAAATTGATGTTTCATTATATTGTTATTTTTTACATTTCTGTAAAGTTAACAACATTGTTCTTGCTTCACAGCTATTGAATCAAACCAAAGAGATTTTCATAAAACGATGATTTATTACTACTGTTACTTCAATCATAGACTAAATAGTCAAATATTTGACAAAATGTGGGCTTGTTGATCATTGATGCTGTATTTTATACTGTAAAAAAATTCTCTGCTCGTCGAAAAAAAATGGATGAAAAGCTAGCCTTAGATAGAATATTAAATGATTAAAAATGTTAAATGCTGAAGTTAATGAAGATATGTAAAACTTAAAAAGCGGTTCGTGGTTTGATTATTGTGAAACTTTTGCATTAAGAAGCATTAGTTTTGTACAGTAGTATAAAAGCCACTAAAATAATTAAATCAGTATAAAAGTGTCCAAGTTAAAAAAAAAAAAAAACAAACCCCTAACATATTGGGGTAAGAATAGGTTTTCAATAAGGAAAAGTGGAGTTAATATTCGCAGATCCACAGTTGCATAGCTATAGCAACATGTGTTAACTTGTGATGTAAGTAGCACCTGTGTAAACACTACGGGTAATTTATTTAACATTAAACATTGATGTCATGGAGTAACTAATCAACCTCATGTACTTATAGTCATGAAAACATGTAGTTTTTTACTGTTAATTACAAATTTTTGCATTTACAAAATCTTTTTTTTTTACTTTATTTAATTTACAATCTCGTCAATATTATTTTAACACGTTCGCGGCGGCACGTCAAATGGCGGGCGCATCCCAGGTGCGGCGCAGCCCTCAGCATCGAACAAACCCGATTGCCGCGTGTGATTGGCTTTTCAATTTCGGTCTGACAAATAGCAAATAACGTGCGAGGATGTCCTGCTTTACAACGAGAGTCGACGTAGTTCGCTAAAGACCAACATATAGCAGCACTGATTGTAACATAACCAGTCCCATTGGAATTGTATTGCCAAATGGAGGGAAAAAGACGGGACAAAAGTAGAATTTTGAGATTGCCAGACGGGGATTTTACGGGGAAATTTACTACCAACCTACACCACAACAAAATACAGTATACTATTGAGCAGTGCTGTGCGAGGTTTCAAGTTTCTAGCTCTAATCCTGGCTTAAAAATAAATCATTTCGTACTGCATTGCAGCTTGGGAGCGATCGCACCCACCAGGATGGCATTAGGGTTCCGTATGGGAACGATCGCTCCCATGCCGCCGCGAACGTGTTAAAATCCAAAACAATCATAGTAAAATAAAAGTATCAACTTTATTTTATGTCTTTAAATTTGTTTCTCCCGTCTTTATTTATTGGGGTCTTCTATGTAACAAAAATATTTGTATAGTAATTTAGTGTATATTGATATAATTTCTTGATTTGGGTTGTGAAACTTTCTCCGTACATTGCAGTATGATTTTACACATTGAAAATGCCCATCTGCGTTAGTTTATTTAAAATTAAAGGAAAGTTAAAATTCTAAAAGTTTACTTTAATTGAAATATTAATAAAGAAGAAAAACCATACTAGGTACCCTTTTCAAATATTTATAATGACTTGTACATTTGCACTTAAGTTCATGTACACAGTCTCAATATTTGCGAATATAGAAAATATTAAATCACTTGGAAAGGTGTTATAGTAAAACCTTACTAAGAACACACTCGGTAACTCAACAGTTAACCGCTGACACCACAAAAAACACAATTTTGTCAGAACATTTTGTTTTGAATGTTTAATATTCAACATTTCTATGTAAAAATATTCATGTAAGTAATACATTTATATGTAAAAATTTGTCTGTTATGTGTTAATTTATTACACCTATTAAAAATTCCAATGTTCGGGATAACTCAAAAACCTTTGGGTCCACAAATTGTCAGGTTATTGAGGTTTTACTGTACTTAAAGGATATAAGGTCAAGTCAGTTTAGAAAGTTAATCTGGATTAAATGTTTCAGGGATTTCTTTTGAACAAAAAACACCGGGAAGCTGCTGCAGCCAATGGAGCGATTCCTACCTCCGGCCAAGCCTACCGCAACTGGTATGACACTGAATTACTATCTCATGAACAACGTACAACACTGTTGTGCGGAACTATAAAGGTTTACTATGTCAGTTGTGTGGTTGATGTCGTGAAATATACTTCTATGACAAGGCTGTCTTCTGGTTTTGAAAAATCAATCCTGGCCATGCAAAACAATTGTGAATATTTACACCAGTTGTACAAGTTGGACAATAAAGATAGTGGAAGCTAATATTTATACTACTGTAAGACCACTCAAAGATAGTAATCTTAAAAAAAAGTAATTTTTAAGTGTGAGTGGAAGAAGATACATGCATTTGATCACACAACTTGGGCTTAAACTTTGATTCTATTTAATTATTTGTTCACCAACTACAGTAAAATAGTTAACAATGAATCGTTTTGCTATTGTATTTTTAGAACTCACTCAGAACTCTTTATTTACTAGAAAATGTTTATTACAAATAAATTAGCATGTTATTGATTGCATTAATTGAGACATTGTTTCTTACGGCATAAAAAGCCACAAATGAAAGTCTACGGCAATCCAGGTGGTTGTCATGAATTCACTATCCTTGCAAAACAATTTTTATGAAAAAAAATTTCTTATTTTTATAACATTTGTCATGAAGGTCACCTACCATTTAGGCACCTTATTCAACAATAATTACGGGAATTTTTAAGCACAGGAGAATCTTATGCAGCCAATTTCTAGGTACATTTAACATAAAAATGTTTCAAATGAACCTCTTACAGAATATGTGGAACGCTCCTTGGGCACTGATGTCCCAAATTTGCTCTAACGTTATTACTCCTTTATTTATTTTCATGTAATGGCAAACATTGGACTAGCCTACTCAATTCATTTCAGTGAGAAGAGATACTCTTTTTCTCTTGTTTTCTGTTTCTTTTACAGTAGGCCTATACTTTCTCATCCGTATTTTTCTTTCTTCTGAAATCACATTTCCTGTTCTATGTTCACTTACTTTAAGTTGTAGTGATAGACCAAAAAATCTTGATGAAGGATTAATAGATAAGAATGAAAAAAACTTAAAGGGCTAAAATACTTACAAACTGCACTACAACTTAAAGTAAGTAAACATAGAACAGAGAATGTGATATTATCTTATTTAACTTCCGAAACCCCCTTGATGTTGGTTTTTATTCATTAGTTTTCCTACAATCCCTGCTCATCCTGAATATTAGAGACTGCAATTAATGTCCAAAGAATGAGATTCTTTCCTTTCTTATTGCACATGTTACTGGTTCTATTTCTTTATAGGCCCTTTCATTTTATGACGATAACCAGTGTCTGTTTTCTTGGTAATTGTTACTGATTACTTGAATAGTCAATGTTAAAATTAGGATATGTCTTCAGGTCGGTATTACAAGGTACACCTGGTGAGCCCAATGCTACCAACAGCACTACCTCGCCGTATCGTCTACTGGGCAAGTACGATGAAGACTTCCCACTCAGAAAGACAGGTACGTCGCCAAACCAACAGAGACTGTAGTCAATGTGTGGTAGTGAGTTGATCAATATTTTTGCTGTTTGTTAACATCACTTTTTACCTTAACACGCTGAGAGTTTTACTAATTTAAACTGCAAACACAATGGACAATTTTTCGGAAGCACCTTTTGGAAAATTTTGACATAAAATATTTCTTTGTTTGAGAAGTATTTGGGGTTAATTCTTAGCTAAAATAATGCGAAGGTAATTACAAAATGTTATTTCTAGTTCAACTTTTATTATTAAACAAAATCAAGGAGTGATACTATAAGAAATAGATTCAAACCAATTCTGTCTGTCCCAAGTAAAGAAATACAAAGTAACTGATAATATTGATCAAATAAAATAAGATTAGTCAACAATAAAAACAAAATTAGTAAATCTATTTTGAGATCAGGCAATAATTTTATTAAGCTACTGGATATAGCTGTTTGCCACTCACAAAAAAAGTGAAAAGCTCCTCTCTAATTTGAAGTAAGAATTTTGTATTCCTTAATATAATTTAGCTATCAAAGTGCAGATTTAAATTTGGTGATTTCAGGAGTACAATCTAAAGAAATGCATGTTTGAATGGTATTTTTACTAATAATTTTGAAAGTTGCTTTTATCCCTACAATAATTTACTGAACAATATTTTCATATTCCTAATTTGTCCAAGTCAAACCAAAAAAGTTAGACTACACTTTAAAAAAATTAATTGTTTCTGAACAAGAACAATGATGAAAGAGCAAACAGTTTGTTGAATGTTTCAATAACATCAATTGAAGATTTCAATACAGTATTCTTTGTTGTTTCTTTGGTAAACTTTCAATTTTCAATGTTTTATCTTTCTCGTTCATTTGAAATAAGGCAATAGTAAATTAAACACTATTTGTAAACAACTTATTTTTTTAAATGAAATTGCTTTTTGGGGAGTAAATGTAACAAAAAACAATAACAAATGTTTCAGTTAAGTGCCCAGGAAATCTTTATCTGTAGCTTTTGTAGTTTTCTTCATGGGAGATGAACTATCCATACAGTTTGGCTCTAGTGAGATTGCGTAGTCAGTAGTGTTTGTTGTGTGCCGTTTGTTGAATGTCGTGCTAACTCTAACACTCCCCCTCCCCCTCTTACAGCCTCCGAGCCCAACCTACTGAAAGTGCGGCTGAAGCAACGAGTGATTGAGCGCCGCGCGAGCCCCATCGCCCGTCCTAAGGATCGACCTATCAAGCGCCGGGCTCATCTTGCAAGTACGCTCGCCTGCATGCACCCTACTAACTAGCTTTCATTTGTGCTGTGTTTTACATATTTGGATTCCCAACCTTTGGCAATTCCAGAGAGTCTCTGGGGTTTTAGTTGGGTTTTTTCATTCCAAGGTTTTTAACTGTGCTTAGGGAATTTTTTTTCCTTTTGGTTACATATGATGATTGCCATACTCGTGGCCACATATTGGATTCCTCGTACTAAAATATTAATGTTATTTGTTATATGGGAGGTTTAGTAAATTTGAAATAGAGTAGAAATGTTATCTAGATTAAATATATAGATTTAATTCATTTATAGTCTTCTTTAGTTAGAACAAATAAAGCGGGAGGAAGTTGCTACAACATCGTAGCAATGTATGTTTACAATTAATTCCAGTATGATCTGTACCTGAAATGTTTTGAATTTTGTAAAACAAGAGATGGTGCCAAAATTTAGAATGAAAATTCAGGCTTCAAATAATTTTGTTGATTGTAAAATGTTGGATAATTTTGTTGATAATTGTGTCATCAGATGTGTATTCATTATATGTTGTACATTGATAATTCTACTGTGAAAAAAATATTATTTGTTTTCCATTTTATATTATAAACATGTTTTAGTTGGAAGAAATATTCAGGTTTAAAATTTATCAAATCATATTTAATATAATATAATATAGCAGATCAAAATTTATTCTAAGCAAACTATAAGGTCAACCCACTATGTTTGCAGAGTCGACCAGCAGCAACCCTGACTCGGGACCAAACTCTCCCCCTGTGTCTCAGATGTCACCCTCTGCTGGTCACAACACTCCCATACAAGAGGTGAGACTCACCACCGTCACTTTTGTTATTTTGTACTGTCATATCCCCAAATCAATACATATAAAATGATATTTTAATTAAACATCCAGGTTAATTAGGCATCCAAGGTTATAACTATAAATATCTCCTTGTGCGCAAGAAAACCTTAGGTTGGGCTAAATTTAATTGGATAATTTTACCACCGAGTCTATTCATTGTTGATTCTGATTTTAATTTATTCATAGTTATTCTTTCATTCTCAATATTTTCTTGTATGTTCTCTTTTTTCAAGATTCATATTTTTTTGAAATGTTTAGTACATAGCTCTCCATAATTTATTATTTAAAGTTTCTTCTTCCTATGGTTGAGGATTATGTTGTCAAACATTATTGGAATGATGACTAAATATACATTTATAACTACTAAGAATGCAAAAATATAAATACATCAAAAAACAAAAAATAAATAAAATAAACATACAAACGGTGACAGAGTAATTTTTTTTCAGTGAAGCGAATCATACTGAAATATACAACATGGACTACAAGTTACAGTTTTGAACAGAGTGATTTCATTTCAGTATGTTATGATTTTACAAAATTCTTAATGTTTTTTTACACAACATTGATGGAACCATTTGACAGCTTAGCAATTTTTACACAATATAGATCGAAGGTCTTTAATACACAAAGTGATAAATAGCACATTTGATTACTTGCACATTTTGCGTTTAAAACATAGGATTAAGTTATTTAGTTCTTGCAAACCTTCAGTAGCTCTTTGCTATGTAACGTATGTGGCTGATACACAGGAGGGAGAGACCCAGTATGGTCAACTGTCCACTAGTCCTGGCAGCATGAACGACATCTCCGGCCTCTACACTTCCCCCTCCATGCCCAACATCTCACTTGGCCGACCACCCACCTCTACCCCTAATGTGAGTATAGACATCCCTCAGTTGTGGTCAGCTGCTGATTGAGTACGTTGATCTAAATCATCGATTGCCTACGCCACTTTTGTACCAAACTAAACTGAAAGGACATGTTATTGAAAGTTGTTATAGTATCTTTCCTGACATCAGCTATCACAGTAGTAACATCTAATTGTGACCATTGGGTTTTAGACTAGCACACTCTACGAGTGCCTCAATCCAACTAGCCTATGTTATTTTTTTTTAGTAACATTTTGCCTATAGATAGTCTATATAGATGTGATGTCTACTTCAGTATCTAAAAGTCAATACATTTATGTTATGTGCTGTGATGTCTCAAACTCACCACCAGCTCAAGAACGTCTCCTGTCTTACCTTTTCAATTCTCTGTGGTTGCTGTCAGTTACTTAAGTTATTATACTTTATAACTATTTGCTGGATTTTCATAGTCTCCAATAAAGCTTTACAAGGTATGATATATTTACAGGAGAACAAGCTGGCGCCAGTGTCGGAGGCAGAGGTCAGAGCTGCGTTTGCTGCTAGACTTGGAATGCCTCTCACTGGGCAAATGTTGTCCGGCACCCTACCCTTCTACCCCACCCTCCCAGGTATAACAATCAGTGTTTGTTAGACTTGTTAATACGGTGTGTCAATGTTTTGCTGAGAAATCATTTAGTGTTGTACTGGGATTTTTTTTTCTAAACCAATTACTGTCAACATTTTTCTCTAGGTTACATATAGGTTTTAAAATTGAGATTTTTCTTGCTATATTCCTTGATGCATTTAGAACTTCACCAAATGAGTGTAGAATAAAATATACATCGTTACTTTAAACTAGAGTAAAACTAATGTGCTGTGATGGAAAAAGTTTATTTTTTATTTTATTTCCTAATTTTGAATTGCAAATTAAAAGGCTACTTCCTGCTGTTATTATAAGAACACTTGTAGCAAACTAACTATGACACAGTCACAGAGCTCAAGGGCCAGCCTAGGTAGTTATTAGTCAGAGTTAGTTGTTAGTTTGAATTAAGTTGTCAAGTATTTTGTTTCTTGTGCTTGAGTGGACTCTTCCCCACTCAGGTAACAATTATTTGTTGGTGAAAGCAACACACTGCAGTGGCGAAATACAATCAGGCTTGTGTTGTTTCAGTAATAGAAGCGGAGTACGGAAGTGCAGCGTACACACACAAGCAGATGGCGTCATTGGAGCAGTCTCGTGTGGGTGTTCACTCTCTGTATCCTTCCGCGGGTATTACAGACACACAGGTGGCACACGCTAGGCTCAACAAGCAAGGTCACCGACCCCTGGGACGGACACAGAGTGCGCCACTGCCCTTGGGACATCCCATGTTGACTGCTGGACTAGTCATGGACCCGGCGCCTTCTCACCATCAGATCACCACTCACAACCTGCTCCGACAGGTAGACCATGTTCCTTATCTTCCTCAGTATTCAATACTGAGCTGCTGTAGTTCACAATAAGTTGTCCTCTCAGTTTGTTTTGATTATACAAAGTTGTCATATTAGACAGAAATAAGTAATTGAGACCAGCACAATCTGCCAGTGGCTCAATTAATTTAAGTATCTAATTTATATTCTATGACTGGCTACAACTTTAATCAGTGAATTTGAATGCCTACTTTTTTCAATAGTTGAAGATATAAAAGACTAGTTTGGTGCTAAAAATGTGATAGCCACTATAATAATTGTGATGTTTTTCAATCATCCACTCTTATTATTTAGTTTCGAGGATTTTTTACAAATGTTGGCCCATCTAAAATCTAAAGTCTGCGAAGGATTTAATTTTTTTCATTACACCTTAAACAAACTACAAGCTAGTGTAATATTTTGATTAAATGCTAAACTTTAAGTTGTATATTTTTGTCTTCAATTATTCAACTTCGGTGTTAAGTAAAATTTTCTAAATTGTATTTTTTGTTTTTGTTTCAAAACTCCTCAGCTCTTTGTTTTACTGGTAAGTTTTTACTCATTTTGTTTAATAATTACAAATAAATACTAAAAGTTAGACAGGGGTTCAGAGTTGGATTAGGGCTATGTTTGCCTTTCAAGTCCATGTTTTTACATATTAGTATTTAATTACGATCCGTTATGATTGTGTCAAATTGAATTTGCATTACAAGGGGTTATGGATGAGGGGTGTTTTGTTGCAGCAAATCAGACAGACAGTTCTGACGAGAGCAGGCAGCAGAGCTCAGTCTCTCAGTGGCAGTCAGCTGGACGAGGCTCCAGAGGGAGAGGATCTCACTGAGGTAGTTGGAATAATATCAACATCAAGTATAAAGGAATTGAGCTCAGCTAGATTGCCTGAGAAAGGAACTTATAGCATTGACTTATGGCTACTAAAATAAACATACCATTTATATGGACCAACTGTAGCATAAAAAACATAGTTGAATGAACCACTAACAGTGCACTACAGTCCAAAACTATATTTTCTCCCTCAGTTTTTGTTATGTACTGAGACTGCGGTCACACGGTTGTTTTTTCATGCACAAAATCAGCATGAAAACACGTGAAAACTATGAGCAGCATTAAATGTAATGGGAATGCCACTTGCAGTGTGTTTTCCCGCAGTAGTGGGTGCCTATTCGTTTCAATGCTATTCTAATTTTTCGCGTGTTTTCATGCTGAATGTATGCGTGAAAAAAACGCCCATGTGGCATCAGCCTGAGACAGTTGATGTGATATTAAAAATGTCACAGTTCAAGGAACAAGTCTTAGGTAGATCAAAGGAAACGGTGCAAACATTGGACCTTTTGTTAAATAGCATTGTTTATTAATCGTCCAATGACGAATGGCATATCTGAGTTCAGAATTGATCCAGGCGAGGATTGAACCTTCAGTTTCAAAGGCAAGCACTATAATCACTCACCCAGAGACTAATTCATTAGCAGTTGAATGAATGATATGACTGTATTAATTAGAATTGTTTACAGGTTATAGACCTGACGGAGAAAGACAAGAAGGCAGATATGGAGGGAGAGAGTGAGATCTGTCGCCAGCAGAGAGAGAGGGAGAGTTTTCTGCAACAACAGAGGGACTTGATGATGAGGCACACGTTACAAGTCAGCGAAGGTGAGTCACCAAAACTGTAGTTGGAGCCAAACATTTCTCCCTTGCCGTAAAGTAGCAATTTTTGTTTACTGAGGTTTATTCTAGCCATTGAGGATACCAATAATTAACAGCATCAATTAGTGTTTTGTTTCAAATTACACCTGACACCGACACAGGTGATGATGAAAACATTGATGAATTTTAACACTAGCTTAGCTTAAGAACGTAAGATCAGTTAGTGTTATGAGGCCAGGGTATCTGATAAGGTTGGTAGGTGATAAGGGGGGAGGGGGTACTTGATGATAATTTCCTGCCTCTAAAATGTGCACAGTGTATATTGTTAATATGGTTCTCAAAGCTAGAATATCAATTCCCCTCCAACTGAGTATTCCCGGCTGATCTGGTAATATTGCAGGCATTTAAAACATTTAGGAAGGAAGCACTTAGGATTTAGAAAGGATTTTTGTTAGGATAGCAGGATTACCTGAATGAGAAACACGTAGGAACAAAAAAACATAAAATACTCTTAATCTATAGTATCCATAAACACCAGTTGCCAGAGTGGACTCTATCAAACAAAAGTCCTGTTTCTCTAATTAAGATTTTTTGAACTCTCAACCACTGTTTGTTGTTCCAGGTTCTGCCTTTACTCCCCGAGCGTCTCATGTTGTAAGGCCGCTGAGTCGAGCGCTCTCTAGTCCTCTGGTGGCGCTCAGTCCGGAGAACGTTCCCTCATCCAACCCTTCACAGAGGTACTAACTACTAGCCTATCATTATGACACTGTGTTGAACCAACGGCACAACTAAGTACAAATGAAAGATGAGTGTGAATGGGTGAAATGCCTTGTGCAGCTTATTTACCAAAACTTGACTTATTTTGTATTTACTTGAAAATTATTTGGATTGTCCCATCATATAGTCAATATATAAATCAAATAGTTTTAATATGAACTAATAAAGGTGTAGGCTGCTTTTAAAAAGAGAATTGGCGTAACAATAATCTAAAATACTTGACTATATTTCGGATGAGAGAACAGTGGTTATTACTTAGAGCTTGCGTGCGGGATGAAAAATTTAACACTGGCACTTGAGTGACGGTTTTTTTGCACCAAACACTTTCTCTTAATAAATTCCATATTTTTCAATGACAATCGATGTTTTTCCAGATCGTATCTAGTTGTAAGGAGCCACAAATACAAAATATCATTGTGGATTGGGACGTAGTATGCATCTATACACGCCCTACAAAGTAATGCTACCGGCGTGGTAACCTGTAAATACTCGCGAGACAATGTACATAAAATGTGTTAATAAATACCTATCATTCCGTTACCTATGTATCAATGTGTTTCTATACCTCCCTGATGTATTCCTGTGAAACAATCATATACTTTAGTGAAATTTATGGAAACGTTGAATCTTAAGGCTAGTTCACACAATAGTCACAGATACTACTCACCAGCAAAATATTATCTGAGTTCACACATGGCGAGTTTTCGTGGCTAGTAGGGTTTGGCGATTCGTTTGTGTGTTACTATATTTTCTGCTGTAAAAAATGCCGTATGTGGGAATAAGACTTTGAGATGTGTGGCTTGTGTATGTCTAGGTACTTTGCGAGAAATTAGGAGATGAAGTAAGGAATAAAAACTGTGAGAGGGTTCGGGATCGGATGGAGGAAAACATGATGAGCTTAACATTTCTAAAGTTTGAGGAGTTATTAGAAATGATGATCAGCTAGTGATTCCAATTAAAACCAAACTGGAAAGTTAAGTAGGCTATATGGCGAATGGAGACTCCCTAAAATCACTACAATACCTATTAGAGTGCCTCATAATACAATTTCTGCATGACTCATGTGACTCTTAAGGTTGGCTACTCGCCACAATAGTTGAACATGTCCGACTTACTGCGCGAGTGAAATTTTACGCTCCGGTGATTGCTAGTTGCCGCTACTTTTTGTTCTCACATAGAGATTAGTAGACGCGACTAGTTGCAGCGAGTAAAATCGCCATGTGTGAACTAGCCTTAAGTGATACAAAGCACAAATTGTTACCATAAAAGACGTAAATTAAGGTGAAGTTTATTATTACAAAAGATTGTCTAGTTTTATGAAATGAAATTCATACAAATTGATTTTACATTAGGCCTACCTGTCATAAGTTAAAAATATTGATATATTTAAATATCATCATTAACTTGCTACATAAAACATGTAGGCTAGTTGTTCAATACAAAACAGTGATATTGTTTGTATTAATTTATTTTCTTAGTAGTCAAAGAACTAACATTGTCTTAACAAGATTGTTAACTAACATTGTCTTAAGACTGGGACGGGTGGCGTCGTCCTGTAATCCAGCTACTAGGAGGTCACGAATTGTGGATATTTATAGGGATGCACTGTGGATGCGATGCTCACTGGTGTGGATTAACGTCCGCACTAGTGAGTACTACGACTATCCGCAGTACTATCCTGATAATTAGACCAATTCGTAAATTACAAGGAAAAATGTGGTTCGGATTCCACTATAAACTGTAGGTCCCTTAGTTGCCATTAGCTGTATGGGCTATTAATTAACAGCTGTGTCTAAGGAACATGTCGGCCTTAGTCACTAACAAGACTACAAGATCGCGCCACTCATCCTACACTCATCCTTCACTCATATTTGGGTTAAAATACGCACATAGTGGCGTCCCCATCTTAAATAATTGATAATTGATAATTGATAAATAACAAAACAAGTGAATAAATCCGCAATTGACATATTAATGCAGAGGAATGGGATCTACCAAATATTTCAAGGATTAAATTTTGACACTCAAATGTCATTTTGAAACCCTCCAAAAAAAACAAAAACATTTTTAGATTCTAACTATTAAAAAATTGTAACAAATGCTGATGTTGCATATTTGTAACTGTTTTGTCTACTGTTGAAGGATAGCGAAAAGAGGGTGGAGAGTGTGAATTCTAGCTTAGGAGCTCTACTAGGGTAGATTTTAGTTTCAATATCTAATTTATAAAAACTAACCAAAAAAGATAGTTATTTCAAAGACATCAGGCTAACAAGTATTATTATTACTAGTATGGATGTGTTGATTCTCAATACCATCGATACTTGGACATAGGTATCAGTTTTGAGAATCGATCGCCAACAGTCTATTCCGATACCAATACCCGAAAAATCTGCGAAGATCGTATGATCGGAAATTTACTGCGATTGCAGAAGATGATGACATTTCTGTGACCGCAGGAATCGATGATAATGTCTGCTACGGGAGACGGGCATGTTTTGTGATCGTAGAAGACGACTATGATGACTCACGATGTTACCTTGAGTTTGATTTTACTGAAAATATCATACTGGCACACCTCTAGCTATGGTAACATATTCTTTTTGATTTTTCGTTGTTAGATCTTCATTTACCTTTGATATGACAGTTATTTAAAGTGTTTAGAAGAGTTTAATCTTAAATTGGCTCTTTAGAATTGTTCTTTGCTGCATTCATTCTTTCTTTACTTGAAAATCACCAGATCACCTCAAAAATACTTTATGGAAGGATATAAAGACAGATGTTGGTGTTGCATAACCAATCCATTCAGAAAATTTAGTAAAACTAAAAAAAGAAATGGTATTGGTATCGAGGATCGATAAGTTTTAGTATCGACACATCACTAATTATTATAGATTGTAAACAAATCAAAATTTTAACAAGTTGGCGATGCATTTGTGCTTATAAAATACTTACATACAAGAAAACAAAAAACTCATAAGCTCTGGAAACAGCATCTTAAACTCAATCAATTACTTATAAAGATAAATAGCGATAAGGACTGGAAGAGAAGGATTCCCTTGTGTCAGTGTTAAATTCATTTTAACTGATGAAAGGAAAGAGGACATTTCAATTATGAAGGACTATTTTGTCGAGGCAGTGGAAGTAAATGCAGGTACAACTTATAACCAATAATACCCCCGCCGCAGCAAACCTGCCGTCTAAGCGAATTTCCATTTGGCCGAATTGATTTTCAATTGATCTATTTAAATAACATTAGGTTTAACGAGTACCTAGGTTTGCTGCTACAAGGAAACTAATAAAGTAGTGTGTTTTTAGTAAAATATTGATAGCTTACTATAAAATAAATAAATTTGCCAAGTTTGATCAAAATATATCCATAAACAAGCAAACTACAACATTTTACAATATTCTCCATAAGAATAACATGGGAATTTTAAATTTACAATTTTTTTAGTTTTCTCCGTAACCAATAACCGTACAAAAACACTTTGATATACTGAATTGTTTGTTTTTTTAAGCTCTTTAAGAAGGTTTAGAGAAAAATTGGGAAATTTTGTGTTTTGAGGGTAAAAAGTGAGAAAAACCAATTTTTACCCCATAAAACCCCCCATAAAACCCTGTTCCCATGGTCCGATCATGCTGGATCGCGAACTCATTCAAGTTTATCCCGCCTTACACCTTCAAACCAAATTTCGTCAAAATCGGATAAAAATTACTCAAGTTATCGTGTTCACGGACACATATATATATATATAAATCTATATATATACCTATATATATATATATATATACATATATAAAAATTTGAACGAATGGTGTTTTTGGCCTCTGGGGACATTAAAATGAAAAAGTAAATCGGTCCCGGGCCTAAGTCTTACCATGAGACCTACGGTAATAGCTACTTCCCTATAGGGAAATTCGCTAAAATTGGCACTCTAAATCACAGACAGTACTTTTATTGTCTCTAAATATTAGCACTGATAAACTCTAACCAACTAACAACTAGGTTACGTAATTTCAATTTAATGTAAAATAAATTGTGCAAAAAACCAAAGGATTTTCTATTTCCTTATACAAGCTGTAGAATAGATGATTGTAGAATAACAAATTTGAAGCCTCCAACAGAGTATGCTGAAAAAAAAGTCCAGGTAGACCATAGTTGCCATAGTACAATGCAGGTACAACTTATAACCAATAAAATTGGCACTCTAAATCACAGACAGTACTGCTATTGTGTCAAAATATTACCACTGATAAATTCTAACCAACTAACAACTAGGTTACGTAATTTCAATTTAATGTAAAATAAATTGGGCAAAAAACCAAAGGATTTTCTATTTCTTTATACAAGCTGTAGAATAGATGATTGTAGAATAACAAATTTGAAGCCTCCAACAGAGTATGCTGAAAAAAGTCCAGGTAGACCATATAGTCTACTGTAAGTAGTGCTGTAAGTTGTAGTAGACAAAAAAGACACAGAACATACAACATTTTTTCTCCTGGGTTATGAGGCAATACTTCCCTGAGGAGGAAATGGAAATATTGTGTTTTCTTTGTCTTTGTATTATGGCCTTACCTGGACTTTGTCAAAGGTATAGCAGCTTTCCTGTCAGTTATTTGATGAAAATATACACTAAAACCTTTGAAACCGAAACCATAATAAAACATTCAAATTGTGTCCCTGGCATGGGTTGGCCTAGTTGGCCAACATAATGCAATGGAGCAGACGGTGACATGGATATAGTATATTAGTATATACCATGTTAAAGTCCCGAAAACAACTGTCAAGTACTTTCATTAGATTTTGAGTATACATTTGTAGAATTTAAGATTACAGTTATCAAAATAACGTAAAAATTATCATTGTAAAGCTCTTTGGCCCAAAATAGCCATAACTTCCAACCACTGACTAACCGATAGAAGTATGTTATAAAAATTGCCTTTTCCCCTCATTTCGGTTGATCAACGTTTTACTGTGTCAACTTTTATAAATTCCCATTCCATCTTTTGAAGATTTGGTAATCAATAATAGCAGCAAATACAAAAAATGATTTCTCAAGTATATTCGTGTACCTGTTTGTTTGTGAGTAAGGGGTTGAGTTGTAAATTAGATTGGATTTTTATGAGACAGACACACCGGGGTGTGTATTTTAAGGCAAACGATGAGTGGTGAATGGATGTGATGACCGCTTTGGTACTAACTGGAGATCAAGTGGTTCTTTAGTCAGGACCATTCGTAAAAAACTCAATGATCAAAAGGCTGTTAGGTCTAATTTCTTAAGTTCTGATTATTTTCAGGATAGGACCGGCAACCTTCTAATCACAGTAGTAGCTTACTCTGGTGTGATTGTTACAGTAGTCCCTCGGTGGTGACGACAGGTCTGGCCTACGACGGACTGATGTTGAAGCACGCTTGTGTTTGTGGAGACAACAGTCTACACCTGGAGCACGGCGGACGTCTGCAGAGTGTGTGGGCCAGGCTGGGAGAGACTGGTCTGGTCGCTAGGTGTGACAGAGTACGCAGTCGCAAGGCTACATTGGAGGAGCTACAGCTGTGCCACAGTGAGGCACACACACTCCTATTTGGTAAGTATACATTAGCCACTTGTGGACTTTTTGCTTCAGAGCCTGTCGAACTCGCTTGATGAACAGCAGCATCCTGTCAATGAGCTCTTCCTAAAGGCGATATTTCCCAACTTAACATACAAGGGTCAGGTACAGACGTTATCTACTGGATTCTGGAGGAACTTTATCCAGTGGTGAGCTATAAGATAGGCCACTACTCTAAGAGCAGCCAGTTTCGCACTCGAAAGCGACTTGTAAACGTGCTCCTGGACTGTTTTAGGTAGTCCATAGTGCAGTGCTGAATTGGGACGGTTTGCAGTTATGACAGTGACTAAGCGTTTTAACAATGCCTTAAAAAGGGACATATTGTGGACACTAGACTACTAAAACCTGGGGCACTTCGCAGTTGACTATTATTATTATTGTAATTCTAGAAAAATACCCTTGTCAAAAAAGAAAAAGACTAGCTCGACATTAAAAATTCTGTAGCTTTATTCAGCAGCCAAATTGGGCAGCAAGGAAACTCACTTTAAAACTGATGTCTGTATTTTTTTAATTCCAAGAGCATTTCTCTTTACTGCATTCAGATATGTTCCGTTGTAAAGTAAATTGTCTGTAGTCTCTTAGGCTGAAAACATTTCTTGCACGCTATGTCCCATTTAATTGTGGATCTGTATATTTACCTGTAGGGTTATGTGGGTATGCAAATAAAAATGCAACTATTGTGTTTGTAACCAGCATGTTGATGCAGGTACAAACCCTCTGAACAGACAGAAGCTTGACATGAGCAAGTTGTCCATGTTGCCCATCAAGAGCTTTGTGCGTCTGCCATGTGGAGGGGTGGGGGTTGACTCCGACACTACGTGGAATGAGCTTCACACTGGACCTGCCGCTCGCATGGCTGCTGGCTGTGTCATCGAGCTGGCGTTTAAAAGTGAGTCTTTTTATATTACATGAAGATCTTGTTGCACGTTTTTCAGGAATAGCCCAAATTTTGGTTTTATGTGTTATGGATGTATTTAAAATTAACATATAAAAATGTTAATCCTAAAATATGATAACATTTTAGTAAGATGAAAGAATATGGCATCTCTGAAACAGACATTGCCCACATTCCAATAATAATCCTCCATATCCAAATAAAACGACAATTCAACCATAGGGTCTGAAATAACTGCGGAAAATAGTGTATATGAAAAGTTTAGTTGACAATGATGAATTGAATGTTCTGCAGCTGCCACTGGTGAGATGAAGAACGGAATGGCTGTGGTGAGACCACCGGGACATCATGCGGAGGCATCACAGCCAATGGGCTTCTGCTTCTTCAACTCCATCGCTATTGCGACTAGACTTGTCCAACAGCGCCTGGACGTGAGAAGGATACTCATCGTAGACTGGGTATGATCATGACGTTACGGTACTTAGATTTAAAAAAAGGGTTATTCATAGTAATGAAGCAGGACAAGATCTTTTAATGTTTAGTGGTGGGATAGATGCTTAGAACATGTTAGTCAATAGTCTTCTATGAGCTGATTAGTTTTGACTTCCTGCAGGCGTATTTTTTTTTAATCTCTTCTCAAAAAATCTTGTCTCGTAGAACGAGATTTAAAATTTCCCGAAACTTCGAGACTTGTCAATCCCTAGTACACATACATCCCTAGTAGTATGACATTGATTATTTACAAAACATATGTTGTAAAAGTAGTTGACAATTTGACATTTTGCAACAGGACGTTCACCATGGTAATGGGACCCAGCAGGTGTTCTACGATGACCCTAGAGTCCTCTACCTGTCTCTACACAGGCACGACGACGGCAACTTCTTCCCTGGAACTGGGGGACCTACAGAGGTAACATATTATCATAGACTTGCTAAGACAAATCACTCTTTTCTTTGCCAGTTACTTACACGTTTTGTAAATACATTTGACAAATCTGTTGACTAAGTCTATTCCTTTGTATGTACAAATAAAGGCAATAAAACTTGATTATTGTATATTATTTTTAGGGATGGACGGGATTGAATTTTTAGTTTGGGACGGGACGGGATTTTTATTTCCTTCCCGATTTTCGGGACGGGACGGGACGGGATTTTTTTCTGTGCATAAAAAGAAAGTACTGTATTGCAGTTACCAAAAAAAGACATACGAAATCAATTTGTACCATTTGTGGCACTGATCTATAAAAACCAAAAAATGGGTAACAATTTACAGGTACCTATAGTAACTTGTGACTCGCGGGTCACGGGGTGATCGTCTGTATGAATCACGGTCACGGCGAGATCGTCGTCATGACTCGCGATCACGGCGCGATCGTCATCATGACTCGCGGTCACGGCGCGATCGTCGGTATGACTCCGCAAGCACGAGGTTATCGTCGGCATGACTCGCGGTCACGGCGCGATCGTCGGCATGACTCGCGGTCACGGCGCGATCGTCGGCATGACTCGCGGTCACGGCGCGATCGTCGGTATGACTCCGCGGTCACGGGGTTATTGTCGGTATGACTCGCGGTCACGGCGCGATCGTCGATATGACTCGCGATCACGGCTCGATCGTCGGTATGACTCGCGTTCACAGCGCAATCGCCGTCATGACTCGCGGTCACGACGCGATCGTCGGTATGACTTGCGGTCACGGCGCGATCGTCGGTATGACTCGCGATCACGGCTCGATCGTCAGCATGACTCCGCGGTCACGGCGCTATCGTCGTCATGACTCGCGGTCACGGCGCGATCGTCGTCATGACTCGCGGCACAGAAAACGTACTACTATAACCCAGAATGCCAACCGCATGGTAAAAAGCATTAAGTGTTTTAAGAGAGCTTTGCCTGTCAATCGGTAGGTAGCGCCACCAGCGTTGCTATGCTATTGCATGGCAACGCTGGTGGCGCTGCCTACGGATTGACAGGCAAAGCTCTCTCAAACCGCTTAATGCTTTTTACCATGCGGTTGGCATTCTGGGTTATAGTAGTACGTTTTCTGTGCTCGCGGTCACGGCGCGATCGTCGTCAAGACTCGCGGTCACGGCGCGATCGTCGGTAGGACTCCGCGGTCACGGCGCGATCGTCGGTATGACTTCGTCTCCTGCGTTCGCGGACCTATCGCTCGCAATAACGGCGTTATCGGCACTCGCGAAGCGGAAAAATCGCCGACGATCGGACCAAATCCCGTCCCGAAAAATTCCCGAGTCAAATGTAATCCCGTCCCGATAATCGGGAATATTTTTTTCCCGAAAAATTCCCGAAATTTCGGGACCCGTCCATCCCTAATTATTTTGTTAATCTACTTTTCTGTATAGCCAACATTTAAGTCAATTACTACTCCTATCACAAAAGTAGCAAATACAAAGTACAAAGTAGCAAAAGTTAAGTCAGCCAATGTTTACTTAGATCGTTAACACTATTCCAGCTCTTTAAAATAAAAAAAATATACTTTATAAATTTTTGTAGGGATTGAATTTGTATTGAATATAAAATTAAAAGCAATATAGTTAGAGAAAAAAATAATATTTTAATTTAACACATTTCTACATCAACCACACTTTTAAATTGTACAGTTATCAATTTTGTAGTCCGTAGAACATTTTTCTTACTCTTTTTCATTTTATATATTGCAGTCTACACACCTATTGTTACTACCTAAATTCAATGTGTACTGCATTTTCTATGAAAGAGAATAACGACTGTTACACTTTCTTGGAAAATTTATGGAACAGAGCTAGTAATAGTATCATAGACAATTTTTTTTTTCAGATTTGATCACGCAGGAATCAAACATAAAATAATAGTTATTTGACGAGACACTTACATTAGGTTATTGTTTCCTTGTACAGTGTGGCACAGGAGCAGGTGTTGGCTTCAATGTGAACATAGCCTGGTCTGGAGGTCTAAACCCTCCCCTAGGAGACGCCGAGTACCTGGCTGCCTTCCGCACTGTGGTCATGCCTATAGCCAAGGTACTGTACACTGCTGTTCATTTGGTGTCAGTTTAGAAAACGTTGTACCCCTGCTACCATTGCTGGCACATTGTCAGTATAGTAATGAATTGGTTGTGAACAATGTTTAAGAAAGTAGTTAACACTTGAATTTGGTTTTAGAATTGTTTACTTTTTTGTCCTATTTAGTCAGAAAAAGTATTACATGTACTATTCAAATTTTAAGGAAGAAACTCAAAACACAGAAGCCTATGGATTTTGTGATAGGATAGCAGGCTTACCTTAAAGTAGAAAGTCTCCTCTGGCACAATAAACACAAAAAACCTTATAATACACAGAAAATTGAATATTTTACTGATACCGACATAATTTCCAACAAAAAAGGGAGATCATATCCTCTATACTACATTTTCTAATCAGCTTATTTATGTAACCGTAGTCAGGTTTTAAACACAAAAGTAAAATTTTTGGTTGTGGCTATGTGTGTCTCTACCACAAAATGTAATGAACCTAATGAAATGTTATGACCGAGGGTTATCGTATTTCAGAAACTTACAAGTAGGATTTTTTTTTGTACAACCTTAGCTTACAAGTGCTAGAAGAATGGTTAAATTAGCTTGACTTTGAACCAAACTATATATGAAGTATGAAGTGAACTATACCAAACTGTATATGAACTGATCTATATCCTATGTATGAACTATATGTAAACTGTATATGAAGCTGAATGATATTGTTAGATGTTGTAGAAGTTTTTCACAGTACGTGATGTTTGACAGGAGTTCAACCCTGAGCTGGTGATGGTGTCAGCTGGGTTTGATGCAGCAACTGGCCACCCTTCACCACTAGGAGGCTACAAGCTGTCTCCAGCATGCTTTGGCTACATGACCCGTCAACTCATGCAGCTCGCTCACGGCAAGGTATGTGATGCTATCCAGCTAGTTGGAAACAACCAGTATAGTATTTAGCTAGTTAACACGTTCGCTACTGAGCGTCGCATATATGCGACGCCGCGGTCATTGCCACAGACCGAGGTATACATTTGAATCTTACACATAGACCGGCTGTCACTTGGATAAAAGTACACACAGACCACGGGCAAAAACCTGTAAAACAGGTATCATTTACATTGTAATACGCTACAATCGTGTTTGTAAATAACTTATTCTTATTTTTTGTATTTTTTATAACCTTTTGTAATGTCCCCCGGTCTACAGCGAAGACAATAGTGAAAATTATCACAGTTTTCTTGAAATAGACCAAACGTCGCATATATGCGACGGTTCATTTTTGTTTGTGTTTTTAGGTGAAAGTAAGTAAAAAAAAAAACAGATTATTCAAGAACAGTTTATAGGCTAACTGAACAAATATGAAAGCTACATAGGATAATGCAGCATACATACTGCATACATACATTCAGTGATGCTGAAAAGTAAAGACCAGTTTTTCCAACTATCATATGACGTCACCAATCATCATATCCACAGACCAAGCGACGCAGTTGTGCATCAGACATCTCTGTAGACCACTGCAGGGAATTCAGTGCCTTCAAATAGACCGTTACAAAGATATAAGCATTTTAATAACATTAGAACCCGGACCCAAATATGCGGCAGCAGTCTATTTTAATGTGACTAGCCGCCGCATATATGCGACGACAGTCTATGGGTGGAAACCAGCCGTCGCACATATGCGTCGCTGGTCCATGTGAATGAAAAATTTCGTACTATTGCAGTAGCGAACGTGTTAAAAAAGGAACAAGGGAATATAATGACACACATAATAATTAATTAATGATGTGTCGATACCAAAATTTATCGATTCTCGATACTGATGCAATTCTTTTATAGTTTTACCAAATGTTCTGAATGGATTGGTTGTACTACACGAACCCCTGTCTTTATGTCCTTCCATAAAGTATTTAGTGAAAATTTGATTTTTTTTTAAGCAAAGAAATAATTAATGTGGTGCAATGAAAAATTATAACTAGCCAATTTAAGTTTAATCCCTTCCAAACACATTAAATAACTACCATAACAAAGGTAAATGAAGATCTAACATCAAAAATCAAAAAGAATATTATTTTAACTAGTGATGTGCCAGGCTGATTTTTTCTGTGAAGCCAAACTAGAGGTAGTACTAATTGTATACAAAGAATGAAGACAGTTTGATTTGATTTGCTTACGATTTTGCCATGACCGCAAAAAAACGGAAGAAGTTCGCGATTTTGACAGGATTGCAGAAGTTTACAATTTCAACAACTACAACCGCTAAAAATTTTAAATTTTACTTTTCAAAGCAATTGGGTTTGGGGCCAACCTGATTGTGGCTTGCGAATCCCTAATTATTGTGAGTGTTGTCACGCAGGTGGTGTTGTCGCTGGAAGGTGGGTATGACCTGGCAGCTATCTGTGACTCGGCGGAGGAGTGTGTGAAGGCATTGCTGGGCGATGACCCGAGACCTCTCACGTCTGAGGAGCTACACCGCTCACCTTGTCAGAACGCAGTTGACACTTTGCAGAAGACCATCGCTGTCCAGGTACAACTACTAGCCTAGTGTCACAGTATCCTCAATAAATGGATCCAAGACTTCTTGTACAACAATCATATTTACCCATTTAGCTAAATACTTAAATAAGAATTGCAATTTGAAAAAAAAAATGGACTTACTTCTTAAAAAGGTAATTCTACAAAACACTTTGTTTGGCTGTAGCCTACAGCTCGTCCTCCTAAACACCACACTATCACATCTTCCAACTCGCCCGTGGATCAAATACTCTCATTCCTCGCCTTCTGTCAGCAGAACAAGTTGCTGATTGCAACTCACAGTCTAATCATAAAATTGTCTCTGTACAATTTGACCCCCACCTCTCCCCTACTGGTAACAAACCCACTGATCCAGTCTTGTTTAGTCTGACACTCGGTTTGTTTGCCCACAGTTGAGTCACTGGGCTGTGTTGAAGCAGACGGCTCATCTTGTGTCTTGCTCAGCCATGGAGGCGAGTTACTCAGAGAGAGAAGAATCTGACACTGTCTCAGCCATGGCGTCACTCTCTATGCAACAACAGGCCTCCTCACAAATTCAGTGAGTCAAATCAGAATGTTCAAATTTGATATTTTATTGTGATTTTTATTGTCAAATATTTTAAAATTAAAATTCAGTAGTTCTGATAGTATTTGCAGACCACAACTTAAAATGGGTTATGAGATGGTTTTACATTAGAACCCTGAATCTAAATAAATCCGGCAACAACAGGACGAAGCCCCTGGCCAGATAACAATTTGGCTGAATAAACCAACCAATTATAATAATGAAAATGTATACCTAATAATAATGTGTAATCAATAAATGTAGTCATAAATAATGTTAAAAACTTTTGTGGGATTATTTTTTAGACAAATTGACGTTTTTAAAACCAATACAGAATTAATTGATTGTAATATGTGGTTAAGTAATTAACATAATTCAGATAGCATAAATAAGGATTCTAAAGATATAGATATTAAATAGGGATGGGGGTAAAAATTACTCACAATGAATTGGCTTTGGAGATGATTAGGCCTTAAAGAGTCCTTGTAACCTAGACGTTCTTACTCTTAAAAGAATAAAAAAACTACAAAGGAAATTTCTAATCTCACAGTCAAAATCACACTGGTGTTTGAAAAAATATTTTGAGAAGGTAAATAACTCTTCAACGGCTGTTTGAAATTAACGAAATTAACATTGTTGACGGGCAAATCTAAGATGGCCATTACCTTCCGTGGACTCCCTTAGAAAACAATTCAAAACTACAAAGAACATTTCTTCTCATAGTATACTAGATATTTAACACTTTGGTGTTTGAAAAAAAATATGGACGATAAATAACTCTTCAGCAGCTGTTAGAAATTATCCAAGATGGCCGCTAGCCTCTAAGGACTCTTAACATAGTCTATAATTCTTGCTGAATTTTCTCGTCCATTGTTTTTTTTATGTTTAAAGGTAAAGCTGGGTTTTCCAAAGCTTAGATACAGACTGTGGACACTCTCCTTTTGTTTTAGGTAATTTAATGGTACTGTTTTCCGCGGACTGGATGAGCGGAAAATCACTTCTCTGCACTCAGCTTCTGTGCTTAGGAAAACCCAGATTAAGGCCTACTTTTTTAACCTCACTCAACTGAGTACTGTACACAGTTAAATGTAAATAAACAGATAACCTGTGAAAGTGCTCAAGTCTCGGGTACAAATGCGTGCAGTTGGTTAGCTGTTGGACGTACGTTTTGATATTGGCATCCTAGAAGTGCCTGAAGGACTTTCAAACCCGAGCCCGGATGTGAGGGGTTCTTCTGGATTCCTTTTGGAGCTACTCAGCTTGAACTACGATTTCAGCGTGTCAGTTGCTCCTCTCATATCATCACTTATGTGTTTACCTTTTGCAGGAGTCCAGAGAGGTCAAGAGAAGAGTCAGTTGAGCCCATGGAGGAAGATGAAGTCAAGTGAAGGATCAGTGCATCTTCTTGTGTCGGTTGCTCCTCTTGTGTCGTCGATGGATGGCAAAGTCCGTCGTCGCTTGGTCGCGTCCGGACGCCATCCTCACGTCATTCCTCGTAGCATGCTTCTGTCTGTTACCGTTCATTGTATGTTAACCCGCCCGGTGATGTTATGTTACGAGCCTTCTCTACCTCAGTTTTCTTTTTGAAGGCCTTTACACTTTTTTGTCTTCCATTAGTCTTGTTTTCATCGTTAAGTTCTATCTTAATGATGTGTCTCGGATTGTAATTCGGATTCTTTTGTACCGTTTTCCATTGTTGTGTCTATGATGTAACAATTTTTACTTTGGTTTATGGGTGAGATTGTACTCGGTGTATATGAGAAAGGCGGGGTCGTTAAAAACGGGAATATTCTCAAAGCTTTATTCCAGAATGTGAAATTTGTCATTAGGAATGTAAAGTCTTGGTGAATTGATTTTTTTTTACTGTTTAATGTTGATCGTTTATTATTCGTAATGATGAAGTGTTATATTGCTAAAAACTTTATTGTGAATTCGTCTATTTCCAATTTAATACATTTCCATGTTTTGAATTTCGCTTGGTAGTCTAGTGTAGAAGATGACAGACGCGATTTATTTGGAAAATGGAAAAGACATAGGTTAAGATATCTGTTATGAATAAGGCATTAAGTTTGCATTTGAAACCATGACATATTTTGTTCAACTTGAGACAGGGATCATTCACAATAACTAAGCACATGTTTACTCACCAAAAGTACCTAATGTTCTTGTAGTTACATTTTCATAAAGCCACTGGTTTGAACCAACACTGTGTATACAAATAACAAGCTTTAAGAATAGATATTAAAGAAGCCAAGGATTTCCTACAATTTTGCATGTTCAAGGTATAGCAACTATTTTGCTTAAATTAGTTCTCCTGGTAATTATTTTCAAGTTAGTGTGACAATAAATGATTCTGTTACAAATTTTTATCTAACAAGTACCGGTTACACAATTGTTTTTTTTTTTTTTTACTTAATGCCTAATCTCTTAAGTTAGTCGTAACAATGTGATTTACTCTTTTGTGTATGAAATTATTTTAACATTCCAAAAACCTTTTTATAAAAATTTCCAGATCAAGGCTAATTAATGAAAGTAAAATATGTTTTGTATATAAAAGATTGCGTTGTTAGATGATTTATTTTTTGTAAGTAAGGCTTCAGCTTTGAGAACAATCATGTGATATACATATATTTATTGTTGTGCTATTGATATAAGAGTCTATCTATGGACATTATACCTTGCTAGAAGTTTATTAATTGTTATTTGTTCGATGTATATAACTGTGAATAAGAATATCATATATTTTGAACGTAGATCAATGATTGTCTAGCTGCTCATAATTATACATTTAAGGTGGAAATATTTATTGATGTATTTTGCCGCCTGTCCGCAGTCGTAGTGATGTGGATTGGCGGGTGTCATTAGTCTAGCTGGGCTCAATGTTGTTAATGTCGGCAGGTCCGATCAATGTCGTGCAATAGTTTTAGTCGTTAGCCTTTATTTCCCACACATTAACCCATTTTGTACTTTTTTACATAAATTATAAATTAAATAAGATGCTTAGTGAAATCTAAATTAAATTTTAATTTTATATGTCAATATTAGAAGTTAATGAGAAAGTATTCCATTTTTAAATGGAACATTTTAAAAGTCCAAATTGCTAGACGTATATGTAGACTTTAATTAGTTTGTTTTTTATTTGTTGAAAGCTTAGTGAAATGAAGTGATATAATATATGCGTATTCATCATTCAAACAAAAGCAAAGAGAGGAATATTTCTTACCTGAAAACTACAAATTAATAGGTGAATATAAAATTTGCGTTTTAAGGTTTTAGTTGTACACATTTTAATCATTAGTCACTTGAAGCATGTTACAAGGATAATTTCTCCATATTGCAAAGAATATTTAAATTTGATCTATTAAACACAAACCTCTCAACTTCTCTCGATAGTTTAGATTCAATTTAATTTTTTTAATTATTGATATTTTTGCATACTTTGTTTGTTGTTGCTAGGTAAGATTGAAAAAAAAAGTATGCGTTAGGTGGAATGCTATGTGTTTGTTTCTAGCTAAACCCAACTAGTATTTGATCCAGGACAAGATATTAAGCCCAATGTTCAAGGACCGTTTTAATTTCCAACTTTAAAAACATGGCCCTAAATAATTTAGGATTGAAAAATATTTACCCATTTAGCCAGATTTGGATCTTACATTTAACATTTTTACTATTTGGCTGTAAGTGTTATGTCATGTTTTTCTGCATATGATATCTTTCATTTCACTAAACTTTTTTTGGTAGTAACATCACCTTCACTATGAGCTGCATCTTATAATTCTCTAGTCATAATCGGTATCATACACATATACACGCTTCCCAAGCCAATGAACTGTGTAATTTTGTTTATCGATACACTTTTAATCTAAAATACTGTATTGTTATGTTTTCTTATTTTTATTTGAGGATACGAATCTGTAAAGTTTACATAACGGATCTTATGTAGTATGTACATAAAGTTGAGACATATGAGTTGTTTTGCTTTGAAATGTTTGTGTCTTTCTTAGTTCGTAAGTATTCTATTTCTACAAATATTGTGTCAGTTAAGTGTAAGAATGTATCTGCTACATGCATAGAATAAATTCCAGTTGAGGAACACACAAAAGTGAACATTGATTTATTTAATCACCCATAGATGAAAATCCTTAACATTGATATTGGTGTACTTTTTTGCAATCAATTTTGAAATAACTTCCCGATGTGCTAGAGACTTTAAACTTGAAACATAGCTCACAAATGGATGATAATGCAATATTATATCATTTAGTTTTCATATTTCCCTTGGGCTTGTTTTATTAGCTCGCTTTCTTGTCCAGTACAAATTTTTATATCATACTTAACTTTAAACTAACTTCCCGAAGACCAAAGAGCTAGAAACTTGATTTGAAACATAGTTCACAAATGGATGACAATGCTACTATATAATTTTATTTTCATATTTCCCTTGGGATAAGCCCCATGGGCTTCAAAATTTTCCATGTTTGCATTTTGGAAGAATATAAATATATCATGTTATTATAGATAAATATCTACTTACGTATCACGTATGCCAGTAGGTATCAAGTGTAGTTGATTATGCTGTACATGTTTCGAGCCTAATATTACGGCTCATCTTCAGCAGCATAAGTAGATTATTATCTATAACTAGCTGTAACCCGCGGGCTTTGCCCCGTTTAACTTCTTAATTTTCAAGATTATCTCGTTCGCATGGCTCAATCACGTCCTGGTTGAAGTTTGTTCGCTACGCTCACTCACCTTTAGGTTGGAGCTCGTTCGCTACGCTCACTCACCTTTAGGTTGGAGCTCGTTCGCTACGCTCACTCACCTTTAGGTTGAAGTTCGTTCGCTACGCTCACTCACCTTTTGGTTGCAAATTAGCTGTTGTCATAAATGTAAAAGAAATAATAGTGCTGCACCCTGTTGGTAATCCTTGTAACTTTAATGCTATTGAACATCATAGAACAGAACCAACTTGTTTAATTGAAACAGCTGTTAAGATTCAATAATTCCATTTCTCATAAGGTTAACATGGGAAACTCCAGAGCCACTGGGGCGGAGCCCGAAAGGATTTTTGAAATAAGAATATGCCTATATGTTAATCGGGAATGTGAGCTATCATCATGCCAAATTTCAGCCCAATCCGACCAGTATTTTTCGAGTTTACTTTTCCCATACACACATACAGCAACCACCTCTTTTTTATAATAGTATAGATTAACATACTAGGTGGCGTTTGCAGAGGCATCCACAAAATTGAGCGGAGTCATCAAGGGTTCATATTATATTGTTTTTGTCATACTAAAGTAAAAACAGTAGTTTTGAATGCATGCGTTGCGGGTCTAAAGTAGCATTTTTAATATTTAGGGAGTAAAAATGGTTTTTTAGCCTCTATGGAGTAAAAATCAGCTGTTGTCAACTCAGTTGTAAATTTCGATTGTAAACAATTGCATGTATCGAAAATTCAATATGTATCGATTCCTGCTTCGTAATCATTTTAACATACAGTCTACAGTCTCTTCCCGTAGCATTTTAGCATCGCAGGTACATTAATCCATTCCCAAACTCAACACTGCTCACCTTTACTACTTCCTTCACCACACCCTACGTCGTGGACCTGTTTCCCTCTCTTCCCATAGCATTTTAGGATTGCAGATACATTAATGTATTTGCCAAAGACAGTTCCCACACTCGGCACTGCTAGCCTTACTACTTTCTTCACCATTTACTACGTCCTAGACTTGTTTCCTTCCTTTCTCGTAGCATTATAGTATTGGAGATACATTAATCTAACTGCCACAGACGGATCTCACACTATGCTGATGCTCATATTTTACTACTTCCTAAGCCACTTCCTACGTCGTGGACCTGTATTCATCACTTTCCATAGCATTTTAGTATTTTAGATACGTTACTCTAATTGCCACAAACATTCCCACACTCCGTACTGCTAGACTTTACTACTTCTTTCACCATTTCCTATGTCGTGGGCATGCTTCCATTCCTTCTCATAGTATTTCAGCATTGCAGATACAATAAAACTGCTACAAACGGTTTCCAGTTACCATACTCCACACTGCTCACCTTACTACTTCCTTCACCACTTCCTACATCGCGGACCTGTTTCCCTCCCTTTCCGTAGCATTTAAGGATTGCAGATACCTTAATCTAATCGTCATAAACAGTTCCCACACTCCGGACAGCTTGCCTTGACTACTTTTTTCACCACTTCCTACGTCGCGGACCTGTTTTCCTTTCTTCCCAAACATTTTAGGATTGCGGATACCTTAATCTAATTGCCACAAACAGTTCCCACAGTCCGGACTGCTTGCCTTTACTACTTCCTTTGCCACTTTCTACGTCGCGGACCTGTTTTCCTCCCTTCCCATAGAATTTTAGGAATGCAGATACCTTAATCTAATCGTCATAAACAGTGTCCACACTCCAGAATGCTCGCCTTTACTACTTCCTTCACCACTTCCTACGTCGCGGACCTATTTTCCTCCCTTCCCATAGAATTTTAGGAATGCAGATACCTTAATCTAATCGTCATAAACAGTTTCCACACTCCAGACTGCTCGCCTTTACTACTTCCTTCACCAATTCCTACGTCGCGGACCTGTTTTCCTCCCTTCCCATAGAATTTTAGGAATGCAGATACCTTAATCTAATCGTCATAAACAGTTTCCACACTCCAGACTGCTCACCTTTACTACTTCCTTCACCACTTCCTACGTCGCGGACCTGTTTTCCTCCCTTCCCATAGACTTTTAGGAATGCAGATACCTTAATCTAATCGCCATAAACAGTTTACACACTCCAGACTGCTCGCCTTTACTACTTCCTTCACCACTTCCTACGTCGTGGACCTGTTTTCCTCCCTTCCCATAGAATTTTAGGAATGCAGATACCTTAATCTAATCGTCATAAACAGTTTCCACACTCTAGACTGCTCGCCTTTACTTCTTTCTTCACCACTTCATACGTCACGAACCTCAAGCTAGTGTCGTCATTTGATTAAATTTATGATCCATACCGTTTCTGTTCTAATATATGTGGAATAATGCTTTCAGCTATTTCTTTATCTACTGCATTCAAAAGTCAACAGCTGATCATATGTCGTTGTTTATGTGTCAAATATTGCTTCCATAAGGATTACATTGAAACTTTGAGACCCAGGGGGGCGGATTCCTGAGAGACTTTTTTAACGCCATATAGATGTTGGCACTCACCGATATGGTCTTTATCACCATGCAAAATTTGAAAACGATTGATTCAGCCGTCTAGGAGGAGTTTGCGTATTACGAAATGCATAAGAGTCGACGTATAAGAGCTTCGCTCAATTAAAGGTTATAATAATAATATATTAAAGGTATCAAGGCTGATTAATTTGATAGTAAATATATCAAATGAAGTCAGCTGTAAATACTTAAATTTGACAGTTCGAAGAGCAGGTTAAGAGGTACAGGTACTGCTCCCGAGAGATTCTAAATATCAAACAAGCATTTAAAATTAAAAGTAAAGATAAAAACATCTGATAACAGATAATATGGTTTTGGTTAGGTATTAACAAGGTCATTATATAATATATTTAACATATTTACACATTAAAGACTAAATACCCTCGCCGCAGCAAACCTGCAGACTTAAGTGAATTTCCATTTCCCTGATTGGATTTTCAATTAAATCAATTTCAATAACATTAGGTTTCATGAGTACCTAGGTTTGCTGCTACAAGGAGATTAATAAAGTGAGTTTTTATTAATATATTAATAGCTTAGTTTAAAATAAATAAATTTGCCAAGTTTCATTAAAATATAATCATAAACAAGCTAACTACAACAGTTTATGTACTCTCCGTAATAATAACATGGGAATTTTAAATTTACAATGTTTTAAATTTTCTCCGTAACCAATTACCTTATAATACCCCCGCCGCAGCAAACCTGCAGACTTAGCGAATTTCCATTTGCCTGATTGGATTTACTCAAAAATATCTCCTTAAAAATATCACATTTATTCCCCATTGAAATAGCATTTGTTTAACGAGTACTTAGGTTTGCTACAACAGGGAGGGTAAAAACTTATTTTTTATGAAATGTAATAGTTTAGTATGAAATGAATAAATTTTACAAATTTGATCAAAATATGTTCATAAACAAGCAAAATACAACAGTTTACTTATTCTTCATATAAATAACATGGGAATTTTAAATTTAAATATTTTTTAGAATTTTTTTGGTTACCGTTAGGCACATAATGACACTTCAATATACTAAATTATTTGTTTTTTTTTAGCTCCACAATATGGTTTGGAAAGAAATTGCTAAATCTTATGTTTTTTGGGTCCAAAATGGGAAAAACCAAATTTCACCCCATAAAACCCCCCATAAATCCCCGTTCCCATAGTCCAATCATGCTGGTTTGAATAAAAAAATTAATTGGTATCTTCTACCTTTACATAAATACCAACTTTCATAAAAGTTCAGTCAAAATTATCAAAGGATAAAATAATGAAATGTATAATTAAATTTACAAGTTCAACAAGGCCAATATATAATAATTTTTTTTTAATTTTATATTTATTTGCCTTGTTGAACTTGTAAATTTAATTATACCGGTACATTTCATTATTAATTGCCAATGTCTTCAATATAAGTTATAAAGGATAAAATGTTAATGAAAAACATATAAAATAATGGATATCTATTAACGAAGCGATTTCGTAAAAAAATGTTATTCCTTATGTTCTTCTTATTTGGATCCAATGAATCAACTCGTAAACTTTGTCCCTACCTTTTTTGAACACACTGTATAAACACACTGTATGTGTGTGTCCGTTAGCAAAAATTATCCGATCTTAATGAAATTTCGCAAAAATGTGTAAACCAACGTTTCTTCGAACAAGTTCGCGAACCAGCGTGGTCGGACCAGGGCAACGGGGTTTTTGGGGTAATTTAAGGGGTAAAAATTGGGTTTTCTTATGTTCGAACCACATGTTTGACCCTCGAAACATGAAATTCCCTAATTTTTCTCTAAACTATTTTGAAGATCTTAATCAAACAAACATTTAGTGAATTGAAGTGTTTTTATGAGGTTATT